TTATAGTTTGATATCTAAAATAATTTTATGCTGCAATTTTAGTGTGAGTTTGCATTTGCTCTGCATATTAGTTTGTTTAATCATTTTTCCTAGAACTTGATAGATTGTGCTACATCACAAAGTGACAGCACAAATGCTTATTTTGACAATTATGTCACTTCAAACACTAAATTGGATGAGTTTGCGAAGCAATATGATGATGCTATTGTTGATCGCCGAGCTGCAAAGATGGATGACGATTTTAGAACATCAAACTCATATCCAATTACAATTTCTGATTTGGTTATTGAAGCACAAGCTGGAAAATTCTATAAAATAAAATTTTTTGTAAGATTTCAAGATGAATTTAGAGATAGTTTATCTTGTCTGGTCAAGAGCACGAGTAAGGAGGGGTCACATACTACTTATCTAGTTTGGTTTAAGAAGGATCATGTCATGGTTGTTGTCTATAATGATGTGAGTTTTCCTGATGCTAATGCTACTTGTTCTCGTGTTAAGTTTGAAACTGAAGGGATATTATGCAAGTATTACTATAAAGATCATGCAAAAAAAAGCAATTTCAAGGTATCCTAAACATTGGTTTTTAAAGAGATGGACAATGGAAGCAAGACATCAAGTAGCTTGTGTTGGTTATGGACGATCAAAAATAAATAACAATATCTATCCAAAAAATAAAACAACTCTCTTTATGGAGTGATCCATTCGATTTAAAGTTAACAAACTCTTGAAAGAATCAAGGAATGATATTGTATTGTTTAGTCAACTTGATACAATGGTTTCAAGCACGCCTGAACAAAGTTGAGAATGAAGCCAAAAGTCAAGTTGGTTGCGTTGTCGATTCTAATGTCATAAGAGTATCCCCGAGATTATGGCATGCGATCCTTCTAACGCATTAAAGATCAAAAGCAGACCAAAAATAGCTACAAGATATCAATGCGGATTAGGGATAACACAATCTCAAATTCAAAAAAACAACAAAAAACAACAAAAAAAACAAAGAAGATCTAGTAATTGTGGAATGTTGGGTCATTACATCACAGGATTAAAAAACAAAGGTATAATTCTAGTTTCACATTTTAGAATTTTATTTTTATAAATGCCCTCTTTTTTAGTTATTACAATAGTGTCGTTTTTTCAGATGGATGACATTCAAACTAATGAGAACAGAAGATCTTAGGCTCGTCATATGCTCCAATATTAATCACGGGAATCTAACTATATTTTTCTTGAAAGTCAGATAATTTATATTTGATGACTTATACGTGAAAAATGTACTTGCTCACTAAGTTTCTTCTTCCTTCCTCACATGATTAGCAATTTAAGAAATTTCAACATCTCTTTTGAGATGACAAAATGTGCAATTAGAACCAAAACTTCGCCGCCGACAAAATAAAGCCATGAAAGCTCATGTGATGCTTTAAGTGCTATCTTATATTCCTGAGAAAAGTACTACTAAGATTATTTGGTACATTGGTACAAGATAATAACTATGCCCAAGGTTATGCAAGAATGTTGAATCCGCTACAAGAAACTAAATTTTGGAGCAAAAAAGGGGAGCGGATGGTATTTGAGTCCAAATATAGTGAAGAGAAAGCTTGAGAGGCCAAAAACTGCAAAGAGGAAAGATGTGTCACGGCTTCGCTTTCATCAATGGCGAACTTGTTAGTCTAATTGCACATATGGCTCCAAAATTTTCAGGAAAAAACAACCAAAACAACATCGGAGCTAAAAACAAGGTTACAGAAAGCACTAGGCAGCCTAAGCGTTGGACCTAACGCCGAGGGCCTAGGCGTTGGCCTTGGCGGGGCTGGGCATTTTTCTATTTTTTAGTTTTTAATTACACCTTTTGATAGTCAATGTCAATATTATGGAAAACTTAGGTGGTGGACTAACACTAGGTAGTTTTCTTAAGTGGTGGTGGAGGTTTTGCTGAAGGTAGGGAGAGACATAGGGGGTGTTCATAGTTGGAGAAGGTTGGAGGACGTCGAGGTTGCAATGGAGGAAATCACGATCAATGCTTAAAGGATACAGTCCATATAAGCAACCCACGCTCCCCTAGATGCTTTCAAAACCTAGATGGGCAACCTAGGCACTAGGCGCGGGGTAGGCGGTTAAGGTACTGTCTAGGCCTAGGTGGGCTAGACGGAGGCTTTTTAAAATATTGGCTAAAAAATACCAATTGTAAAAAGGGTGTACAAAAAATACCAAAACTGGTAATTTAGCCCTTATGAAATCTACTAACTGGAAGATCTTTAGAGACATAGTAGCATATATTTGCATTGGAGTTTAAGATAACAAGTATTGTTTTTTGTTTAACATTTTGTTGACAGTGGGGAAAAAAGACTTTGCTACTAGTTTTGTTTGTGGACATTACTTTATACTTTGGATTGTAAAGTTTGGTGGCTTTTGGTCTAGAATGGAGTTGTGAAAAAGGGAATGCTGATGAATTTGTTATCAAATAACATTATTGGTTATATATCAAATTTTGACTTAGTCATAACTTTTATGAACTGTATACTTTGAACTTACCATATGAAACAAAATGATTATTGTCATGATTGTGGAATTTATTTATGGCTGTGATTGCTACTTATTTGAGGTACTTGCAATACATGCTTTATTATGTACTTCTATTTTCATAGTATCTTAAAATGGATGGACTCTCAAAAATAAGCACACTATGCTTTAATATGAACTTATATTAACTGTTCGCTTTCTAATTGTATCAAGGAAATATTATGTAGGCAATAAAAAACTTTAATACTTTTTTTTTATGATTATGATGGGTGTTCCCTTATGTTTAGCAGATGGGCTATGAAGATATTGGCTTTATGGAGCCCCACATACTTATACATGAATAATAATGGTGTCAGGCTGCTAGCTAATGCACTATAGTTGTTTTTTCCCTAAAGTACACTGGTGAAAAGGCATGGGAGAAAGAGTAAAGAAAAGACAATATAGAAGGGAAAAGGCATGACAACAAAGTGAAATGAAAAAAATGTACAGTAGGTTAACATTGGGTTTAGGGATCTCCATTTAATAAAGAGAAGAGTTAAATGCAAAAGTCCCACATCAAAAGTTAAGCTTCTCCGCAAACTCAGCGACAGCCCATTAATACAATGGGCTATCAACCTACAACCATTATACATATATTACACTAAAATATTTTATCTAAAAAATAAATATATGATATTATATTATATTAGTATATTATATCAATTTTAAATAAATAACTTCCTACATTAAACTTAAAATATTAAATTAAGTATATCATAAATATTAAAATAAACTAATATATATTATATTATTAAAAATTATATTAAGTAAATTCTTAGTAGATTAAATTAACTATGATAAAATATAATATAATATATTCTATAGATTAAATTAAATATACATTATATTAGATATACTAAAATTGAATTTGAATAATTTATAAATTATAGTACAATATAGTTATAACGCAATATAGTAATTATATTAAATTATAATTATCATAATACATTATAACAATTTATATTGCTAATAGATATAATATAATATATTATACTAATGACAATTACCATAACATATGACAAAGATGTTTAATACTATTAATTAATATAATACAACATTCTATAATTATAATGCATATTGTTTACATTATATTATCCTATTATAACATAATATATAAGAACATGCTATAAAATATTATAATATATTATACTTTCATTAGTATGATATATCATATAATAATTATTATCAACTCAACTTTATTACAGATATTACAAAAAATATTATATAAATTAAATAATTATTATAATATATTAAAGAATATTTTAATATAATTGAGACAATAACTAACCATAAGTTTAGTACAATATAATATATTATAATATAATATAATTTGCTACTAGTTAATATAATATAATATAGTACAATATAATTATTATGATATAATATATTATGTTATAATGTAATATATATTATAGTCCAACATGTTATTTACAATATTTCCATTTTTAATTAATTTAATATACTAAAAATATTATTAATCATTCTTTACAAATAAAGTATAATATAGAGGTTTTTTTAATGAAAACAACCTTTAAAATAGGATAGTTACATGAGAACCACCTTGAAAGCGGATTAATTTTCAATCAACCACCAACAAGCAAATTGTGTTCAATTTTTACCTAATCTATCAAAAATACCCTCCTCCTTTCTCCCTCACCCACCCTAACTACCCCTAAATTATTCTCGCCCTACTTTAGTCAAATTTAAGGTCCCAAGTCCGAATCTATAATCCCCTAGAAGCCTTACATATGAACATAAAATATGGATTTACATAAATTTATGTGTTTGTGTGTGAAATCGAGTGTAGAACTTTATTTAGTATCTTCTAATCTTGTAAGAACAAGATATCTTTCTTGATCAATCTCCTTGCCCCTCATTCTTCAAGAATCAGAAAGATCCTTCTCCGGTTTAAATTTATTTATTTGGAATATAAGCTCTTCTTTCTCAAAAAATTTTGGTTTATTCTTTATTTTATTTTAGTTTTCTTTTCCATCCTTTTTTTATTCCCTTCATTCCATCATTTCTTAAGTCCCACAGGTTTGGAACTCCAACTTGAGGACCTAGTAGGAATGTTGCTAAGATAAATCTATGATACCTTAATTAGGAGTATAATGAGTCAATATGCATTTCTTAAAATATAGCATTAATGACAAAGAATATGATTATTGATATAAGTCTAAATGCGCAACAATTAACCTATATGAACCATACAAGCTCAATATCCATATTTAAGAACTAAATGAAATTTTAATAGCAACATGAAAGCAACTCCTTAGCATTTCTTTAACTTACCATTCATTGATTTTGATGAGACTGCTATTAAGATATTATCATAGCATACAACTAAATTTCCTTGATTTTTACCTTGAAGATGCACACCAAGTCATAACAACACCAACAAACAAAGAAATGAAGACCAAAAAGGAGTAAGTAAGAGTACTGACAAGAATGATAGCAGAAAAACTTGCAAGTGAAAGTGGAAACTCCACATCTCTAAGGATCGCTTCTGAAAAAACACACAAAAATATAGTTAGTACCCCAAATCTGAACTATATTTTATGGAAGTAATTCCTTATAATATAACGGCCATGATACCCACAATAAATAAGAAAAATGGTAGTAACGAAAGATTTATGATGCATTTCAACAATGTATAGTAAAAATAAGACATTGGTCAACTGAGATACCTATTCCCAAAGTCTGCAAGTTCACAATTTTAAGCAATGACATGAAGGGAAAGAAATAAAACACTTTATAAATCACAAGATACATAGTATAGCACAAGACATGCTATTACATATAGCATATATCATTTAATATTTTGCCTTAATTTCTAGGCTCCCGTCTCACATCATCCAAGCCTATTAAAATAAGGTTGGTTGTGGACAAAATTCCCTACTGTTAAAGCTTCACAACAAATTTGATGATAAATCACAACTGTACATGTGTAGTGAAACAACAATAGATATTTTTCTATATAACAAATGCAATATTCATATATTTGCTCTTTTGGACATAAGTCCTACATATTTCATTTTTCATGTTACAATCTCCTTGCATCCATATCTTGTCCTATTAAAATGGGGTTGTCTATGGATGAAATTTTATATTGTGGAAGTCATGAGAATTCGACAAAATTGATTATCAACGAAGTAGCCTTTTAGCATCAAATAACAATGACATTATATAATTTGTTATAACTCGTATTGTAGCTTAACGGTGCCCTCTTGTTATGTAACACACCTATTTAACGTTGAAACTGTTTAACCCATAAAAAACATGCTATATTGCGTTAAATATGCATTACGTTATATAACCAGTTAACATGGATTTTTTAGATTAAATTGCATCTCTGATTAGGGCGCATGGCTACATCTCCACCGTCCAAATTATTAAAACCATACCCCCTTTTAGTCCCGATCATTGTCTTCTTTTCCTACGAATATGCGATCTATTTGCCTCCTCCAACCCAAACACTAATTCGTTGCCTCCTCACAAACTCCTCTGGCCATCGACGACTTCTACGACTCCGGTGAGGTAAACCTTTTAACTTTTTAGTTATGTATTGAGCATCTCAATTTATATCCTTTAAGTAAATAGTGATTCTGAAATTATCTTCCAAATTTCAATCTTTTATATTGCCAGTTTACCCTAAATCATATCAAACTTGTTGCTCCATTACTTTATCCTTCAACATAATTTTATAAGATCTGTCACAAAATTAGAGTGCCTAAACTAATTAGTGGGCTAATTGTGTTAGTGAGATAATTGTTTTCATTTTTTACTTGATTTTGATTAAGTTTCAGTTTTTTAGTTTTCAACTAAAACTAGATTTTGTAAAATTAAATTTGCACACAATCTATGTATATGAAAATTTTCTTACTGTTGTTACATAATCATGTTTAGTTTAGTTGATGTAGTGAACTTGATTAGGAATTAGAATATTTGTGTAAAGTTAAGAATTCGAGAGTAGGAAGTGTTTGATTTGTTTTAGACTTATTTTTATTGCCTTAAACTTGATGATGTTAACGTATTTAATCATTTGATGATGCTTTTTGGAATGATTGTTAGTAAAATATGACTAACTTTTCTTAAAAACTTGTGATATTATATTTTTTATATTTGATAATTGTGATGTTATGTTTGAAAAGTTTAATGATTCTAAGTATTAAAGTTATTATGAACTGTTAGTACTTATAAAATATCTAAATAATTAATAAACAATATAACCTACATTATGTGTTGCGTTTGTCTGCGTTTTTTTCCTTAACCCTTTACAGGAGATCAAGCGTTACATAACCCATTTTCTTTATTTTCAACATTGGTATTTACTACATAAGAACAGAGACGTATATTAATGCCCACATATTTCGAATATAATTAGGCTTACATAACACATATCTGGCACCAAATATGAACATATCTGACATTCATTCAACATACAAAAAGTGTCTGCGGTAGGTATAAATACGTAAAGGAGTTATTATTACTCAATAAGTGCGCTTTTTTGTATTGTGAAAGACAACATATATGTCCATGAAGAAAGGGCCTATTGTCTTGTTAACACTAACACACCTCCTTCCCTATTTATGTCGTGCAAATAGGAGCATGAAAATTTCTAGTATTACATGAGCATGCCAACAACAACTCTCATGAGCATGCTAATAACATGGGAAACAATTCCCATCTCACTAGCCACCATTTCTTTAATTTAATCAATATGCCCATGGCTTTAACTTTTTCTTTATTTTTGAGTTTCTTCCAACCATCTAGTTCGACCTTAGCATGTTTATACTTTATGCATTGATGTGTGTGTAAGGTGTGACAACTCCAGCCCATACCAGCAGGTGTTAAGCCAAAACTAAACCAATAATAATAATAATAATGGGTATTGGTCCAATAAGGATCGCAACTGGGTGAAAGTATGTAGCTCGACTAAAAAATGGATCTGTTAAGGGACTTAACCTAGTTAAATTAGCTAGCCCCGATTAAAAATGGATCTGTTAAGGGACTTAACCTGTTAAGGTACACGCCATGTCGTGTAAGGGTACGGCTTCATGATAGAAATAATCGTGTAGCATAGCCTATTAGGAATCAGGGATACAGATAGCATGACATTAAGATAATTTAGTATGGATCCTTGATTCAATTAATAAACAGGTCAAGTGTAGGTTTTGACGTATACAGGCCAACTTGAAGGCGATCTAAGTGGCATCTGCTCTACCAAACTCAATTGCGGCCCATTGTATGCATAGCGTAAGAAATGTATGTTATATCCTTCGGATTGTCATAACTTCACTAACTATAATGCAAAAGGAGCTTGAAGTTGAGAGTCCATCAGTCATCTTCAACCCTAAAAAGTAATCATCCCACATGTGAACCCAACAATGTGTGCTTCTATAAATAGGAAGAATTAAAACACTATGCAAAGCAAAAAAAAAAGTGGGACCTTTGCATAAATAAGAGGATAGAACATAACATTTAGCAGGCACGTCACCTGAAATTTAGTGTTTAGCATTATACAGTACTATAGTGACTCTTCCTCACGACTCATAGTACGAGTTCAAATAGAAAGAATATTGCCAATATGAATACATATCCGTTTTATTTTTGAAGTAAAAAATACAACAAGATAGTTTTTCACTAAAGAGAAAAAGGATAGGAGTATCAACAATAAAAGTCCCAGCCAAGTATGCCCTAAAGTTTGCCAAATGAAACTACTTAGGAAAAGAGAATATGGATGTAGCTTGAGGCCTTGAAACAAAACTTAATCGTGTATTTGACAAGATCGGAAATGAATATTACTTACACGGGTTTCAAAGGTGAACACAAATAAATATCAGAATTGAGCAGTATTCTGAGTCAAGACAAAACTACTAAGAGTTAATTGCTTGCTTTCATCTAATAAAATTCATGTTTTAATCAATAATACACTGAGTTACATATAACAAATGGTAAACATTACTTAGTATTAGCTAATAAAAAACATTACTTAGTATTAGCCGATAAAATAGCAGGCCCATAATTCACACTTATGTAGAGAAAATAAATTAGATAATGAAGTTCACAATTGCGAACCAAATTGGTAACATATTGTTTTTTTAACAACAATTCTTTGACTATTTACAAATCATTTCATAAACATTTACAGAATTTGTATTGAAGAACGTATGGGTTGATATAAGATATAGATACAAACTATTGCAAAAATATGGGGAGTACATCCATATTATTTCTGGTTCAATCAATTGTTAGTATGTGCTAATTAGCAGGTGTGCAAGAACTATGTATGAAAATGTAGAAGTGTTGTAAAACTAGAAGTGGGACTTTAATTATGATGCAGTAAATGAAGAAACTGAAATTCTATATGCATGCAGAATAATTTATAAGGACATAGTGCAAGATGAAATCAGTAAAACATTATAATTCTTATATAATGGTTTAACTTTTGTTTCATTGGCAGTTAAATTGGAACACTTTCTACCATGGATATCCGATTTACTTACCACCTTTAGGATGCTAATTGATAATTAAAAAATATCATATTTGTAGTAAATTAGTAATAAGAAGGACTACTGAATGATGATAGTTTAACATTATGGATGTCAAATCTACTTGGGATTAGATAGCGGTATATTTACTAGTCCCCTCTTCCAGAGCGATTAAACCTTTTTTTTCTATTGTGCTTGAAATATGAAGAAAACAGCAATCTCAATATATTTTTAAATTTTACATTTCCTACTTTGTCAAATTCATTACTGCTTTCAGCCATTAGTTAGTGACCAGAAAAGTCATCTTCTGATTGAAACCTTCCCACTCAATAATAAATGGGTGTTATTTCATCTTAAGCATATGCTGTGACTATTACAACTCCTGTACTATTCTATGTAATATTAACTTCCATCTTGCAAGCACACGTGCATATGAAGGCAAGCATGGGTGCATCACACAGAAAGGAAGCAACAATAGTAGTGAAAAAAGGGTGCACCAGGAATGTGTGCAGAACCTTTAGTCCTGGTAACTTGTAGAAGTAAAGCTTTCACAAGAATCACTATGTGAACATACAGAGGAATGAAAGAAAACACCATTGGACGTGATCAACTTCATTGTGGGTAACTAAGTCGCCTATCCTATATTAAACAATAATTTTTATTAGTGCGCTTAAAGCATAGTAGTAGATTGAATACATTATGCGCTAGCAACAGATTTAAGGTTTAATACTTGAATGTCTCCATATGTAAGATACTAATCAAAAGTTTGCAAGATTAGTAAGGACACCTTCATATTTGGGAAGCTAAACAACATAATTTTGAAGCAAATAAAACAGGAATATGCTTATGATTGATGCATACAAACCTGCTCGATGGCACCTTTGTAGTAGTTGCACTTTCTGAGAATCCCCCAAATGAACAGTCCTATAATATAGTTTGCGTTACAGGCTTAAGGAGAATAACATCTGAAAACTTGAAGCAGAACAATCAAAGATATGCAGTGCGGATGGTGTGCATGAAAAGTAAATTCTCTTAAGAGCAAGGAAACACCAAATGCAGTTACCATGTTAATGCACTGTCAGTTGACATCATAAAAAAGAAAAAAGAAGCGGCACGAACGAGAAAAGATAAATTAATGATATTGACATAGTCTACAGATCTATCTAGAAAAGGAAACAACATCCATGGATTTGTGGCATCAAAAGGGGAAATACATATAGCCTCTTGGTTATTACGGAACCTAATAAAATTTCTGGGCAGAGAAGAATGCAAATTGAGTTTGTCAATAAAACTATATATAGGGATACAGTTCCATTGATATCATACATATATCAGTAAGAAAATGAAATCTTTAACACTTAAATTTAGAGGAATGAAGGCCAGAAGGGTTAAAGTTAAGATTAACATAATAACTGAAAAGAATTATAAACCTGAGTATATGACACGACAATAGAATTACACTGAAAAACAGAGAAAGAGAAACAAACAACTTCCCATGTAAAACCAAATGACTATAAACTTCTCCAAATGACAGAATTATGAATTCTGTAAGGAATTAGTTTTGAAAGAACTACAACCACTGATATCATACATATATCAGTAAAACAGTTTGAGAGCATACTTGGAAGAGGCAACTATAGATTTCTAATCCTATACCACTAAATCTTTCACAATCATTTCAATCATAAAAACCATAAGGATCTGTCACTATGACATAAGAGTGGAAAATCTTCAACTAAGCTTATGGGAAGAGGCGAATGAAGATCGAGATGAATATTTGAAATTTTGATCCATACAGGAGGGAGGAGAAATTCCAAAGGATTTTAGCACACACTTGGGTAACATGGAGATCCTCGACCATCCACGCTGAATTTTCACCGCATTACCCACTATAAACATAATGTACAACCTTTGGGGTGGGAACCTCACTTTGCTTAAATATCACTCCAATCTATGGATGAGTCACTTAACTTCATCAACCCATAACGACACGTGAATCTACAGACCTCTGTATTGTTTTGCATATACGAGCCATGGAGCACAGCTATGCACCCGCTCCTGCACGCACAAGCAAACAAGCACACAAGTTCTCTACAAAAAGACTTTGCATCAAGAATAAACTGTGTGCATAATCAGCATAGCATGGTCTTCGTACTACTTGAGAATTTGACACGAATGTACTATTGCTCCTTTAATTATTATTATTAACTTGACAATGCTGGTTTAGGCCCTCTTTTCCCTCAAAACAAACTTGACATTGTTTTTGCCCCAATCAATATGTAAGCGCACAAAATGTAATCTTTTAGCACTTAAATTTGGATAATCTAGGTATTAGCTACCAGAATCAAGAAATTGAGGGTTTAGTTGAGGGTTTTACCAGAATCTGAGGCGAGACGACGAGGCCATCGGATTCGAGAGGCAGAAATCGATTAGGGCATCCTTTCTGCTTCCTATTCCTATCACTTCGACAGGAGAGAGTCCCGATTCCGACGAGGCTCGGAGGCTAAGCAGCGAGATCCGGCGATTGAGGCCGTTGATGAGAGTGGAATGGGAATGAAGAGACCGAGAAGACGAAGGAGAAGGGGCTGAGATGGAAAAGAGTGTGGTGATTCTAATGGCGGTGGCCATTGGGAGGAGGGAAGAGAGAGAGAGAGGGCTAAGTGAGCGGGAGAACAATGAGGCCTAAATTATCGAAAAACAAGATGAGAGAGAGACAAAGAGAGGAGAGAGGGAAAAGGGAGTGGCTGTAAAGTTCACGGCCTGGATGTGCATGGGCTCCATTGGGCAGCCCAACAAGTAGCTTTAATTCTTCCATTTCTTTAGACGTTTAAATTATTCTCTATATGGGGTTTTGTCACTTATATAACTTAAAATTGAAACCGGGGTAATTTGTGGGATAATTTTTTAAGATATTAGTCATATAAAATTAGAAAGTGGGATATTTTTGTAGTGTTAGTCAAGTAGAACTTTTCTAGAACTAAAACTGTGATATCTTTTTGGTGTGTTAGTCAAGTAGAATTCTACTAGAACTAGAATTAGAATAATTTGTCATAATTATCCCACTAATTATGCTACCTATATATGTAGCCATCGATTCACCTCTCTAAAATTATCCTACAGATTGATAAAGAATCAATTGGGAAAAAAAGTGGAACTGCGATGTTTTGAAGAACATCGCTTCTCCTCGGTTCACAGGTATTTCTGATCTCTCTCTCTTATTAGAACTTAAAAAGCTGATACTGCTTTAATTATTAGATCAAAATTTTGATTCCTTCTTTAATTAGGACATGATACACAACCTTTTATGATTAGGGTTTATATGAAATTAGGGTTTATGTTACAGTAACTGTTAAATATTTGAATGCATGCTATCGTAACTTTTGTGCATAGGAAAATGGGTGATGAATGATGTGTTTTCTGTGATTTTACATTATTTTAGGAATTTTAAAAATGAGTATTTGATGCATGTAGTTAGTTTATTAGTATACGTTTAACCTATCCTAATTAAGTGGCTCTTACTATTTATACATTATATGTTCATGCATGACGTTATATGATGAATTTTTGGATTGTGATAATTATTTTAATTACAGACTTTAAATATTTTTTTATACTTATCTGATGTTATAGCAGGCTGTTTATTTGGTATACTATGCTCATGCTATATGATGCGCTCTACTGTATGGATGTCAAAATGGTTACTACTACCTTATGCATTAAGTTTTTTACTTTTTGACTAATACATACTATTTGTGCATGCTCTGTGATTATCATATGTTAGTAAATTATAAATTCTTATATGTAAACTAATACATACTATTTGTGCATGCTCTGTGATTATCATATGTTAGTAAATTATAAATTCTTATATGTAATTATGGTTGAACTCTTGCTAGTGACTCTGTGATTATCATATGTTAGTAAATTATAAATTCTTATATGTAATTATGGTTGAACTCTTGCTAGTGATGTTGAACATGAACTCTGCTTTCAGTGATCCCAGTGTTATGTATCTTTTTCATGAACTTTGATAATGCTAATATGTACTCTACTCCATGTCATTGATTCCTACTCTCATTTGATGTCAAGTTGGGCATTCTGCTCACTAAGTCTTTAGATTTTTCCCAACAAGTTTGTCAAACTCTGGTATTGCTCATGCTCCATTTATGCAACTTGGCAGTAATTGTGATCCATGGCTATTGATTTGTTATCATTGCATATCACAGTTATTTAGTCATGTATATTTTGGATGATTAGCTAATTATATGTAAAGTAAATAATTGAATAATAATATTACTAATGCGTGTGTATTTTCATTATTATTATTATTATTATTATTATTATATATGTGTATGTTCTTTTTATATCAGATGCATGTATGTTTTAATCCAATTCCATATTTGAGATTTTGAAAAGAATATTTTTGAATTTGCTATAGGATGGACATAAGATCACAAAGTCAGGATCAAGAAGAAATATGTCAATGTCTAGGAAGTGAGGGACAACAAAGGACAAGGATGGATTATATGACATGGACTGAAGCAGAGGCTAAGTAATTGCTTAGACTGTTAGTGGAGGAAGTTAAGAACGGGAATAAGCAAGCAAATGGTAGTTTTAAAAAGCATGTGATTCTGAAGAATGTGATACCCCCTCTAGTTGAAAATTTTGGAAAAGATTTTAGATATAATCATGTAATGAACAAGATAAAGCAATAAAAGAGAAAGATTACACTTGTGGCATCTTGATGAAGAATAACTCTGGTTTTGGTTAATTAGGACCCTAGCACGCAGAAATTTACTTGTCGCAACGAAGTGTGGAATAATATTTTGGAGGTTTGTTTATATCATGTTACTTCATATATATTAACTTGAACGTGATATTAATTATTTTTATATATAATGTTGTAGACCCATCCAAATACTCCAAATCTCAAGGATAAATTGTTTGAGGATTTTTTGAGGATATATAGATGGAATGCGGAGACCATGGCACTTCTGACAGAGAAACTATAGGTTTAGGTCTTGATGGCTTGGATGAAGCATACTTAGAGGAAGCGGTTGGGAAGAGCATATTTGGTGTTGATGCTGAGATAAAATCTCTGGATAGAGGAGATGCTATTATAGATATACAACATGCTATCACCGTTCCCACTGACAGTGTGCCATATTTTGATTCTGGACCATCCACTTCGAATAATGATAAATGAAGGCATAGGTCAATTGGTATTGTAGCAACTTCCTTTGCATCTTCCCAGTTAACGTTGCAAGAGGTAGGAGAGGGAGTTGTCACTGTAGGTAAAGTTTTTCATGAGTTAGTTGATGAGTTGAGGAAGGTAAGAAAAGGTCGAAATAAAGAATGGGTTGATTGTCTAAGCCACAAAAATGGAATATACTCAGTGATAATATCCTACAGAACATGAAAGATGCCTTTATTGACATGGATACAAAAGACCGCTACGAGTTTCTATATTTTAGGTTAACTAGTGAGATAAGGAATGATGATAAGGATAGGACTCAAGCCAATTCTAATTCAAATGGTGCATATTATGATTCTGATTTCTTTGAAGATGTTTAGAGGCGGTAGTTTAGGAGTTTAAGATATTGCTATGTTTTTTGAGATGTGTTATGGTGTTAGGATTATGTAGAATTTTATATTGTTAAGCTATTTTTCATTGAGAAGGTGAAAGTTAGGATAATGTCATGTTTTTTTCTGAGATTTGGAAAGTATTTTTAGGATCAGTGTCATTTCAGTTTGTCAAAACTCTTTTATTAAGGTATTTGAAAACTATTTATTTTTAGGTTATTGCTATGCTTTTATTTATTTGCTTATGTTTTGTTATCATGTTATTTGACTTGCCAGCTGTCTTAGTTTGGTACATTTAATGGATGAAGTTTCTTATGTATCATCCCAACAAATTATTATTGTATGTTGTGTAGATGAGAGTAGTGCAATATTATGTTTTCTTCTATTTTCAATAGTTTGGTAATTAATGATTAACATACAACACCATATTTTTATTGATTACTACTTTATGTAGAGAGAACAAACAACTGCCAATTTTTTCACTAATACATGTTCATTTACAGTCATCTTTTTTGATAAAATGAACTATACACATTTAAAATATTAACAGTCCCCTTGTGTGCAAATAATAGAGTGCTTTATTTATTTCCTATGCACATAAGTTTCATGTAAATTGATTCTATCTCATTGGTTATGTTAATTAATAGGATAGAGGAAAATCAAAATTTGTCCATTTTATATTTTCATCATGAGAACTTCGATGATAATCTTTTGATTCGCATAATTGAATTAGCTGTTGAGGTTGTATATCTGATCACAAAGATATCAGGACTTCTATCACAGAAGTTCATAGCTGCAAATATGTTTAGTTTCCTATGTCCTTGACGTGGTATTACAGATCTTGGTCTTACATACTTACAGTTCAAGATGGATAATCATCAACAAGATTTTCGTAGAATTTACCGCATGTACCTAGGTTGCTTCATGAAGTTATGCAATGTCTTGAGAGAGCGGAGCCATATATAGGACACATACCACAAGTGTTGAGGAGATGATTGCTATTTTTCTTCTCACGGTTAATCAGAATCAACGATACTCTGATGCAACTGATAGATTTGATCATTCAAAATGGACTATCAATGTATGTTTTAATAAAGTATTATATGCCCTGGTATCTTTAGCATCATGCTTGATGGCATCACCCCCTATTGATTCACCTGATAAGGTTAAATCAAAATCTCACTTTTGGCCTTATTTCAAGGTAATTCTTATTCCTCAAGATGTTACACACATGCAGATGCACACACGTGCACACACACGTGCGTGCCCACACACACATTAGTTGAGATGGTCTGACACATTGACTATTCAGGATTGTATCGGTGTAATAGATAGGACTCATATTCCGTGCATGATGTATAACATAGATCAGATACCCTATCAAAATAGACATGATTTTCTCTCTCAGAACGTCTTAGCAGATTGCACATTTGATCTCAAATTTATTTATGTCTTAGTTAGGTGGGAGAGCTCTGCTAATGATGCAAGAGTCTTAAAGGATGCGATGAGTAGACCTTATGAACTTCCACTTCCACAGAGTAATAATCTTTACATAGTATTCTATCAATTACATAATATTTTTTTAGTTTTATAAAAAAATTTCTCATTCAAATTTTTATTCTTTTTTGTACATAAATCTTATCCATTGACCGTGGATATCCAAATAGGCTACAATTTCTTGCTCTGTAACGAGATTAAAGGTACCATCTTTCAGAGTTCGGCCCTACTAATAATCGACAACGACCACAAAATTCAAAAGAAGTTTTCAATCATCGGCATGCGTCTCTTAGAAATAGTGTTGAGCGCATCTTTGGAGTTTTTAAGTCTAGATTCACTATTTTCAAGAGTCAACCCCTAGGTTTTCCATATGTCACACAAATAAAGATGTTTGTTGCATGAGTAGGACTGTATAACTTTTTAAGATTGAAGAATAAAAATATGACTTCGACATTTCTGATCTTTCACTAGAAGCTCCACTAAACGATGTTGATGCAGATAATTACTTCGATGAAGAAGACGAGTTACAAACTCAACAAACTCAACAAGTAGCGGTTGGAGCTTGGAGAAATTCTATGGCAAATGCCATGTGGGATGACGAAAGTCGAGTCACTCTAGGGATTTAGATTTTTATTT